TTTTCTTTTCTTTTCTTTTTTTTTTTTTTTTTGTCCTACAGATGGACCTCATAACCTCTCACTTGCCAGGCAGTTGGCTGTGTCGCTGAGCTAAATGCCCAGCCCCTCAGTACCAGGATTTATGAAAGGTCTACCCTCAACCACCCCTCACTCAGCTCATCAGTCACCTCTAATTTTATTGCTTCTAAATGAGTTTTACGGCTCACCTCATTGTGGTGACACAATCAGGGCAGTTTGCAGTAGCCACGTGTGTTCTGGGACCTTCCCCTCCGAGTTTCCCTAGTACCCAATCCTGCCCTCTCTGTTCCCCTTACTTCTGCTCTGAATTTCTCCTTTGTGCTGCTAGTGACGATCTCTGCCTTAGTCTCTCCTCCCCTAAACCTGTCCTTGTTGACCCTGACTCCTAACTGATGGTTTAGAATGACACAAACAGACCCCCCAGACATCCCTCCGTTGTCCTGCTCCCCCCACACTGCTGCTGCAGAGAAGCGTGCTGGTGGACCTCTCTGGTGCCCTTGTGTGTGGTCCGCCCGTCCCGCCTGTCGTGACTAAGGCTTCATTTGGATCCTGTCCTGTTTAGTATCCTAAATGTTCACTGCCATATGCTGTGGTTTGAGTGTGGTGTTGAGGATATATAACCTTTAAGAGGTTATCTGGGTCACTTTTCTCTTGCCTGCCTGAGACAAAATACCCGATATACAAAGTTAAAGGAAGAAATGTTGATTTTAACTCACAGTCTGTGGAGGTTTCAGACCATAATCGGCTGCTCCAAGGCAGGGTGGCTGGGTGAGGGACCTTGCAGAGGAAAAACAGCCCATACCAGGGCAGACAGGAGGTGGCAGCAAACAGCAAGCAGCCGCAGGAGTCTGCCTTTCACCCCTTTACATTCTACCCAGGCTGCAAGTCTATCGATTGGCATCATCCATGCCCGAATGGGGCTCCATTACCCACACCGTTAACCCCAGTATCTTCACACCCCCTGACCCAGCTGCCCACCTGTGAAATTCCCCACTTATGACGCTTGCTATCCTCTCTACCATTTTCTCAGACTAAAATCCTGAGGCAGGAGATTAGGGCACAGCAGGCTGGCTGGGGCTTTTGCGCTAAACTACATCCCCAGCCCCCTTTTTATATTTTTATCTTGAGATGGGGTCTCACAAAGTCACTAAGTTAAGCTGGGTGTGGCAGGGCAGACCTGTTACCCAACACTTGGGAAGCTGAGGCAGGAGGATTGCCGTGAGTTTGAGGCCAGCCTAGGCTGCATAGAGTGTTCAAGGCCAGCCTAAACTACAAAAGCAAAATGAAAAAGGAGGAAAAATAAAAGTATTATAATAGGATTGTGTACTGTCGCTTTGCAGTAGGGTGTGATTGATTCCCTGTGCTCTTATGAATTATCCCTTATTAATGGCTGAAAATATCCCACTCTGGGAGCAGCATATATTACTTAATTGTTCTTTATTTTTAATTTTTTTCTGTAATGGGAATCGAACTCACAACCTCACACTTGCCAGGCAGGTGCTTATGCCGCTGAACTAAATCCCCGGTTTAATTTTCTTTTTAATATTATCAACTCTATCATAAATTTATTTAAAAATGAATAGTGTAAAACATCTGCAATTATTTCCATAGAGCAGCCTTCTAGTATCAGAAATCCTGTAGCAAAAGACTATGTGTAATTTTATTTTATTTTTTTGTACCAAGACTCAAACTCAGAGCCTTGTCCTTGCCAGGCAGGTGCTGTACCACTGAGCTACATCCTTGGCCTGATCACGTGTTATTTTGTTTCATGTGTTATTTTTAGGGCCATGGAATTATTAGAAAAACCTGGATGTGGTGGCGTGCACCTGTGAACCAGCACTCAGGAGGCTGAAGCAGGAGGACTGAGTTGGAGGCCAGCCCGGGCTACATAGTGAGTCATGTCAAAAAAGAAGGAGAAGGAGGAGAAGGAGGGGGAGAGGGAGGGGATACAGCTCAGTGGCACAGCAGGTGGCTGACAAGCATGAGGTTGTGAGTTCAATTCCTGGTGCTAAAAAAGTGGGGGAAAGAGGAGGAGGAGAAATGGGCAGACTAACCCACAGTGTTTCAGTTGATGGTGATTAGTTTCGAGACAGCGTCTTGCTATGTAGTTTTGTTGTTCCTATTGGACTGAGTCTCGCTGTACAGTTCAGGCGCTCCCTGAACTCACTCTGTAGCCCAGGCTGGCCCCCACCTCAGTTCTCCTGCCTCAGCCTCCTGCGTGCTGGGATGACAGGTGCGCCACTGTGCCTGGCACTTGCTCCCACTTTATAAACTCCTCCACCACGTCTGGAGCCAGCACCGTCACTCGGTCTCCTCTGGATGGTATAACATGGACCATGGAGGCAGCGTGTCTGGGCGGCCATGTGAGGAGCATGGTAGGTGACACGCCTGCCAGTCTCATCCTCGGAAGCTGTTGAGTGGTCCCCGGGGAAACGCAGGATGTGGTTTCACGGGCCTGGCACACACGGAGCGATGTGCAGGGCAGGCGAGAGCTATTTTTACGAAAACGGCTGAAGTTTCCACCCTGGAGGACGAGGACGGTGACCTGAAGCACCAGGCCGGAGACGGAGGGGCCCCAGGATACTCGGCCCGTGCCACCTTACTTTCCATGGGCTGCTAGGTGACCTCAGTGTCACCAGCCTGCAAGGGCATCGCTGTTTCACTTCAGTGCCCCCAAATTCCTTGACCCACCGCATGGCCGATCAAGCAAGTGTTCACACTCGGGTACTTCAGACCCCCCGCCAGGTCTAAAGGTCAGACTCGGGTGTGGCCTCTGCCCCCACACCAGGCCCAGCTGCAGCTTGCTTTACTGCATCTAAAAACTTCAGTTTCACCTCCGTCACAACAGCACGTATCACGCCTTTAAAAGTCAGAAGCTTTGCAGTGGAGCTGGGAGTGGGGGTGCACACTGGTCATCCCAACATCTGGGAGGCTGAGGCAGGAGGATTGCCATCAGCGTAAGCCAACCTGGGCTACACAGTGAGTTCAAGGCCAGTGTGAATTACAAAGCCAAACCTGTGTCAAAAAACCAAAGATAAAAAAAATCAGAAGTTTTAAAATAGCAAGTCGTATACTAGAAACGCAGGGCCCCAGAAGCACCCACTTTCAGCCTTCTCCTGCCTGTTACTTCTGTGCCTACAGCGTTTCTTTTTTTCCCATGATGGTGTTGCTAGGAGACTAGAATTTGTCCCCCTTGTGCCCTCTGTGCACACATGGCCCAGGGCAGCTGTGTCACAAATCATGATGAGGTCAATATTCAATAGTCACCGATTCATCTGTGTAAATGTCACCCGGTGAGCTGTTTATTTTCTTGTGCAACTGTGTTGCTGTACGTTAATAATTTTCTTGTGCTTGTTTTGTTTTGAGACAAGACCTCGCTATGTAGTTCCGCTGGCCTTGAACTCCCTATGTGGCCGCTGGCTGGCCTCGAACTCACAGCAATCCTCCCGCCTCAGCCTCCAAGTCCTGGGATTACAGGTGCGTGCACCACACCTGCTTTCTTGGTTTCCCAAGTATCCCTTCGCTTCCTCACCGAGGCCACCAGCTGACACTTGAGTGGTCCAGCCCTCAGACCCTTGGATTCCGCCCCCCATTCTGTTCCACTGCAGCTCTGCTGGGATTGGAATTTTAAGTGGTTTTCTCCTTGCTGTGAGAGGTGGGACTTTATTCCAGCTGGTGGTCAAGATAAACATCGGGATTCACTGTACACTGATTTCTGTGGACATTGAGTATTCGAATATGAGTTTCTTCAGCACACTCTGTCTGTCCGGGTTGACCCCTGACTCAGGAGGCCAAGGCCTCTACGGGTGCTGGGCCACAGAGGAGTCACCCAGGGAGGCCACCCGGCTGCCCGGGCAGTGGGCAGATCTGAGTTCGAATCCTGCTTCTGCGCACGTGTGACTTCGTGAGCAATCGCGGTGGGTCAGCCCCTCGGTGAGGGCACAGCGGGTCCACACGACCAGGAGCTGGCAGTGACAAGAGGGTTAATACCCGCTGCAGGCAGCACCCTCCAGAGCAAACCCAGAGGGCTCATGCATATTCATGTAAGAGGCGGGCACGTTCCTCAGAGGAGGACTGGACATGTCCAGGGGCGCGATTAGCATTCAAATGAGATTCTAATGAGCAAAGTTTGCTCTAGGTCACTTAGAAGAGGGGCGGGGCGACTTTGCTTTCAACTGGTTCTTTTCCCCACGGACAGTGCAATCCTTAAGTACTACAAAGGTGGACTAAAAAGAATTAAAACAGTAATAAACTGGCTCTTTGTGCTTTTCTCCCAAGGGCATCATCTGACACCAAGAAACAACATGAAAGGTGTAGCAGTCATCTAAAAGGCAGCGCTTTCCCAATTCCTCCCCGTCCTCCCCGTCCTCCCTAAGAGTTGTAGATGTCACATCAAAAGACTGACACACCTGCCAGCACACACCCATCATCCCAGGATGCTGAGGCAGGAGCATTGCCACGAGTGTGAGGGCAGCCTGTGCTGCATCCAGAGATGCTCTGAAAACACAAACCAAGGACAGGCGCCTCTTGGCCCCTGGAAGGGTTCCTGTCCCCCAACTCCAGCTGTTTAAACAGAGGAGACAGACACATGGCCTAAGGGGTCACACACCTCAGGATTTGTGCGTTGTTCGGTTGTTTTGGAACAGGGTTTCGCCAAACAAGGCTTGGGGACAAGCATCCTGTCACACAGGTGACGTCACAACTGTCCTGCTTGACTTCCGGCCCCCTGTAAAGGATCAGGCACAGCACCTTTTGATTGGCTGCGCCCACTTGCAAATGAAGGCTTGAAGGAGCATCTTCCGATTAGCTACACCCACATGCAAATGAAGGATTGAAGGAGCATCTTCTGATTGGCTGCACCCACATGCAAATGAAGGACTGAAGGAGTATCTTTCGATTGGCTACACCCACATGCAAATGAAGGACTGAAGGAGCATCTTCCGATTGGCTGCACCCACATGCAAATGAAGGATTGAAGGAGCATCTTTTGATTGGTCATGTGAACAGAACCAGATTCAGGGATGAAAACAGGACGTTACTGATTGGTCCAAAAGAGCACTTTTCTGATTGGCTCTGTGTACAGTGCATATGTTGTCCCTGAGTTTGAAGAGTCCCTGCCCCCGGGTCCCTCACCCTGTGGCTCTGTCTGGACCGGCTAAGGTAGGCCGCGCAACTGAGGGGGGAAGCAAGGGAACCCGGCGGATGCCTGTGGCAGTTTAGGGGAAGGCTCGGGGGTAGGGGCTGCCAGGTCCCCAACTATGCGACAGGCAGAGGCCCCGGAAGAGATGGAGACGAGAGGAGCTGAGCCCCCGCAGCTCCCGGCCACGCCTCCGAGAGTTCCTGTGCCTGGAACCCGGAATCGCGCCTGGGCTGGGAGGGACTCATGCTTTCCACCCTGCTGAGAGCCACGGAGGCTTGGGGGTGACCTCATCAGGCTGGGCAGGCGCAAGCTGGCCTGTAAAACGGGCCAGAAGGGTGTCTGTCCTCTTCCCCTTGTCTCCCTGCAGAGTTTGGATGAGCCAACTACTGTGTCTTCCTGGAAAAGAGAGCCCGGTGTGGCCGCACACGTGTGTAACCCCAGCACTCGGAGGCTGAGGCAGGAGTGTCATGCTACAGAGTGAGACCCTGTCTCAAAAAGCCAAAAACTGAAAAACTGCAAAACCCCACGAGCTCAGAACACCGACCACTGTGCAGATTCACAGCATCCATCCGTCCGCTGAGGACGGGTGCCATTGTGTGCCCGCCTCACTCGGGGCCCAGGCCGCGCAGAGGCCCAGGCAGGACTGCAGGAGCCATGATTTAGAGGCCGCCTGGGCAGCGCGGTCTCACATTCTTTCAAAAAGAGAGGGAGGTTCCAGCTCTGTGCGCCCCTGCCAGCCTTGGTATGTTCTGTCCTTTCGTTCTCACATGCATGTACATGCAGTTCTCACATGCATGCACATGCAGTGTATGACTGTGGTTTGAGGTTTTATATTTTGAGGTACAGCCTGAGTTATCCAAGGTGCCTTTGATTCCTCCTGCCTCAGCCTCCCGGTAACCTGGGTCTTCAGTGTCTTGCCATGCGTGTGTGTGCCCACGCTACACTGAACCTAGAGCTTTTGTGGGAAGCCATGGTTTACGTTTTTTATTCTCCTATTTTTCAGACAGGTGTTTCTGCAGGCCGAAGGGGAACTTGCAATCCTCCTGCCCCAGTGCTGGGGTTATAGAACTCTGTCACCAGGCTAAGCTTTGTGTGCATTTTTAAGACAAAAAAAAAAAAAAAAGAAAGAAAGAAAAAAACTTTTCTTCAGGAGCTGGAAAGTCGTTGGTTGGATTCTCAGCATCACAAAAATTAATTTCTTCCAGTTTCAAAGTGTTTTAGCAAGACAGCATATCTAAATTCTTTCCTTGTTCATTGTCATGTTGCTGACTTTTTATTTCTGACAAATTGTGTAAGAATTTACTTGGAGCTTTTGGTATATTTTTCTAGGAATTCACTTGAAGTTATCAATTTTTATATATTCAGTAAATAACTTTTAATATCGATTGTAAAAAAATATCAAATGTTGCTATGCTTGTACATTAACATTTAAACTGGATTTTGTAAGTTCTCCTTCTTTCTTGGTTATCATCTCTAAAATGTAATTAGATCTTTTAAAAGTCAACTTTGGGACAAATTTTGAAGATGTTTTATTATCGTCTGCTTATTAATGGCTGATTCAATTGCTCTTAGTCTTACCTTTAAAATGGGGACAGACAGGTGGCTCATGTGTGTGATCCTAGCCCTCAGGAACCTGAATCAGGAAGATCGCTGTTGGTTTGAGGCCGGCCTGGTCTACATAGTAAGGTCAAGGCCAGTCTGAGCTACACAGCAGAGACCCCTTTGTCCTGTGGGCTTCCCCCCGCCCCATCCTGATTTGCTTTGGTTTTTGTCGGGGTGTGGAGTTCCACGGAGTCACCCCAGGGCCTGATGCATGGTAGGCAGGCATCTCCTGACCAGCCACATCCCTGGGCCTTCTGCTTTCAAATACAGCCACTGCTCCCTGCTCATCATTGTGTTCTGGGGCTTTTGTTTGTTTGTTTACTCTAGGGTTTGGGGAGGGAGCTCAGCACTGGAGCCTTTGCCACTCTGCCCCAGCACCAAAAACCTCTTTTCTCATGAGTTACCAAGATGTGTGTTACATGTCTACAATTTAGATTTTTTTAAAAGTGAATTTGTAGGGGGCTGGGGATTTAGCTCGGCAGCATCAGTGCCTGCCTTGCAAGTGTGCAGTCGTGAGTTTGATCCCCGGTACCGATAAAAAAGACAAAAAAAAAAAAGTGCATTTGTATTATCCTCTAAATAAATAGTTGCAAATCCTTACAATAGTTTTGCCTGTTCCGTAAGCTTGTATAAATTAATTCCTGGGGTGCTTTTGTTCTTGTTTCCCACAATTTGTATATCCATTAACAGACATCTGCTTTGTTTCGAGTTTAGGGGACTGTTAATAAAATGATTATGGACATTTTCACGAGTTTTTCTGTTGGGTGTTTTCCTTGGTCCTAGACAAAGTGGAGACCCTGGGTTTAACGACAGGTAGATATTTAACTTCACAAAGAGCTGCCAAAGATTTCCCTAGAGGGTTTAGGAATTGCAAAATCCCACAGAGCTGCTAGTTTGTGCTAAATTTTAAACTGGTCGCTGCTGCACACATCGTAGTGTGGCCTCACGCAGATTCCCCTCCGCGGTGACCCTGTGGGCACCTTCTCAGTCTCGTTAGTGGTTGTGAAGCGATCAAGATTTCTACCCACTGGAAGGTTGAGTCGTAAACACTGAGTTGCAGTTCTCAGCGGGATGGTTCAGAAATGCCTCTCAGAGGCGGCCTTTAACCATGTTTTGAGAAACAAAACAACACAAAACAAAAAAACAATTTTTTTTTTTTTGAGACAGTGTCTGGCTATGTAGTTCAAGCTGGTCTGGAGCTCACTTCGTGGCCAAGGCTCGCCTGGCACACAAACTTACAGGGTGTGGAGCACCGTGTTCAGCTTTTTTTAAGTTATCCATTTCTGTGTCCTATCTAAAGTCTTGGCCAATCACCACATAGCAATTCATGCAGTTATCTTCCTATTTTCCTCTCTGAGCTCCGTATTACCTTTTCTGTTTACCCTGATTATGCATCCGGAGTTACTTTCTGTTTGGAGTAATGTAGGCATAGGCTTCATGTGGGAACCCACTTGTTTCAGAACTATTTGTTTCAAATACAGTTTAACATGCTGGGTGTGGTGGCACAAGCCAGTAATCCCTCAGGAAGATTGCCTTGAGTTTTAGGTCAGCCTGGACTACACAGAATTCAAGGCCATCCTGAACTACAGAGCCTCAAGAGAAAATAGTTTAACTATGTTTTGTTTCCTCTGCCAAAAATACAATGACCATATTTAAGGGCAGGTCTCTTTCCAGGGTTGACACATGGAGTGGGTCGCCTTTTGTTAAAATAGTGGGACCTATTGGTTGTTCTGTTTTTGAAACAGGATGTCCCTATGCAGCCCAAGCTGGCCACAGACCCCTGAATTGCTGTCTCGGCCTCCCCAGTGCTGGGATTACGCAGGCATCATCACCAAAGCTACCACTACACAGGTCTTTGCGTGTTAGGCCAATCTTGTTCTCCTCTGATAAAGCATGGCGTGACGTACCGTTATTTGTTACACGCCGATTTCCTAACATTTTGACTTTGCATCTGTATTTATAAATACTGGTCCGAGGCCCGCCTTGGGACACTTTTGCCTTCTGCAGTGGTGACATACACAGCCTCGTGTTGACTGGAAATGCTCCTCTCTCTCCTTCTGGAGAGATTAGTTTCTGGAAGATTAGTATTTATTTGTGCCGGAATGTTTTACATAATGCACCGGAAACAGGACTTTGATTTGGACTTTTTTTTACAGATACAGGCCTGAAATAGGCTTCATATTTCTTGTAATTTCAAGGAATTTATTCCCTGAAATTGTAGAAAGCTAGTCTGATTTAGTCACATCACTGTCTGCAGGGCCTCACTGCAGTGTACTGCAAACTTCATTTTTGACGTTAGCAATTTGGTTTCCTTCATGCAAAGAACCAACATGTGACTTGAGTAAAGTCGCCTGGCGCACGCTGCCTCCTGCCCTAGCATGGTACTCCAGCTTCTCCAGGCACTAGTTAACAAGATGGGATGCTGTCAGGGGAGCCGCAGCCCGCGGATACCCTCTCTGCCTCCACCAGGCTCCATCCAAGGCCCTCAGGCTTCTGATAACAGGCAGAGCCCTGTCATCAGTCACGCTCAGGATCCCCGTGCATGGGTCAGCGCGCCCCCCGCAGGGCCTCTTCTCACCCTCTGCCCCCGCGGGATGTTTAACGTGAATTTAGCACTGCTTGGTGCCCTGAATTGGGGTGCTTAGCACATGCACCCCCTCACCCGGTGAGGTCTCTGGTCATCCCTGCAGGGCGGTTTTTCTTCACATTCGCCCTTGCCACCTGTGCCCCCTCCCCCCGTTAGAGAGACATTTTCCGGGCTCCACTTGGAGCACCCTGAGCTCGGGCTGTCTCTGCCTTACTTCCTCTGGCTACAGCGGGCGGTGTGGCCACCTCTGGCATGCCCTTTCACAACAACCCAGTGCTGTGCCACTTCACCCTTAAGTGAGGCGTCTTTCAGGGGGACGAGTCTGTTTCCCACCCGTGCATCACCCTGCCCTGGAGGGCACCAAGGGCCTTGGGGTCTCACCACTAACCAGAAGCTGCTCAGTAGCAGACTAGGTTCTGTCCCCTAGGCCAGGACAGCAGTCTGAGGCCTGAGCACCCCCACAGCGAGCAGGACCTTCTGCAGGCAGCTGCTTATCCGCACATCCTGCTCGGGCAGGGCAGGCAGCCAAGAGAGCAGGGCCCTCCACATCAGGGCAGCGGGCGGCACCAGCGGGATGGCGGAGGGGCCCCGGCCTGCTGTTTCCCCGGGCTCAGCAGTCACCAGGAGACAGGAGGGGCCCAGCTCCGCAGGCAGCCTTTCTGGATGCCTGGTGTTAATGTTACCCAAATGCCCTGGCCCCGGGGACAGGAGACACATGGCTTGTCCCTAGGCCGTCAAGGCATCGCCCTCCTTAGGGCAGCTGGGCTTCCCCGCAGGGTGAGAGGGGCAAGAGGGGCGAGAGGGACGAGAGTCTGCTGGGTCCGCAGGGCGCCCGGGCTCCAGGGTGCTGGGTGCCCCTGACAGCCCACCAAGGAGAGGTGGGAAACCACATCCCCCTGCAGGAGCCGAGCCAGGGGAAGGAACCCCAGCAGCTGGAAAGCGAAGCAGCTGCTTTCAGTGCATCCTCTCAGCGGGGCACAGCACGCTGTGCACAGACCTGGGTACCTGTGTGTGGCTTTAAAGACACTCACTCAACCGACAGGACTGAGGCGTCCTCCCAAACAAGCCCACAGACTTACGTAAAAGACAACTTGTGTACTGAAAGTAGCAATTTTATTTGAGTTAAAATTATTTACAAAAACCCAAAGACATACTTCATGAAACTGGTACAAACTTTTCCTGCCGTTGGCTTTTGCTCCAAAGATCACAGCTGAGAAATACCGTATAAAATAAAAATAGGATTGGATTCAGAAAAGTACTCTACTGTTCTAATTTCCAACTGGTGGTATTTACAGAAATATTTACAATGGAAAAAGCTTACTTAGAAACTTGGGTTAATTTGCAAGTCAGCCTCAAGTACCCTAAAATGCAGAGTTCTCTGAGGGTTACACACACAGATGCACTGTAATTGGTGAGGGGGGTTCTCCCTCGCCCCCAGCCACACCCCCAAATCTGCATCTCTATCAGTGTTTGACAATTAGTTACTACTTAAAACAAAACAAATAAACTGTTAAACACTGAGGTAAATCAATTTTCAAATGATTACCAGTGTAACAGAAAACTGTAGTTCGCCCTGGTTGATCGCACCCAAATGTTCTGTAACATTCCTCACCGCCTGCCACCAGTCAGCCTGACCAAATCTGTTCTGCCCCCTACATCCAAAGACTAATAAATACCAACGTGCTGAAGAATAATTAAGCCAAATACATCTAACTCACCCAGCCTACAGACGCCAGCTCCCAGTATGCTGAGAAGCTAGGTCAGCGTTTCTGCTCAGGGCAAACCCACTCTGTCTTCCCGGCTACACTGCGCACTGTGTCCCCAAAGGTGCCGGGGAGCGTTCAGAGGGCAGAGGAGGAAGCAAATGATTAGCCTGGGGTCAGCTACTTCCTTGGAGAGTTCCCAACAATCTGCATTATCAAAAATAGGAAGACAATAGAAGGCAGCCACTGCATTAAAAACTGCAGCCGGCACTGGTACAAGAGCCCCGGTTTGTCACTATACAAGGAAATAGAACCAAGTCTAAGTGGGCACAGACTAGACTTTGAGCTATTTTCCCCAATACACACCAAACTAATATTTTATGGCTTCAAGTTTTACAAACCCAATGGAGAAACATGATGTCACTACTGAAAGGTCATCAGAAGGATGAATGAGAGAGATCTCTGGGAAGCCCATCCTCCAGCCTGATTGGTTAAAAGAAAAAGGAAACCAGCAGTCTGAAAAATACAAGAAAACTCTCAATGCTGTGAAATCAAGTTCACCAGAAGTGTTCTGTGTGCTCCACAACTGTTTTCCAAACAACTGTTGTATGAATAAAAAAAGGTCTTCTCTAAGTCAGCAATTTTAAGGCTTTGCATTTATGCAATTGATCCTGTCACTGCAGAAGAACATGCACGTCACCTGGAAACGTGAGTCCCACATTGGTGTTTAGCTTCCTTATGGTTACTAAACTGAACATCAGAAAATACCTCTAGAGACGCCCCTCAAAACTGCACGCCTTCCCAAGAGCCTCCCTAGCAGCTCGTGGAAACTACCCTGGGCTCCTCTGTTTGCGAAGCCTTTCATGAACGGGGCACACGGGCTTCCCGGACATCCCTCCCACTGCTGCCCGTCTCCTGCACCTACAGCTACGACGTGCTGCGGTATGGCATTGAATATGGTCATGGTTTCAAGAGAGAAAAATAGTTCAACCCCCAAACCTAATCAAGAATAAAAAAATATACTATCAATCCCTTGTGTCTTTGGATTCCATCTAATTTTAAATATAGACAGCAGTTCGGGGAACAAGAACCAAAAAAATTCACAAAATTATTAAAAGCTTTATTTACGATTGGAATCATTCAACAAAAAAGCAAAAGCCAATGAGCCTGAAGAAGGAACTAAGCTGCCGCCTGGCGCGCAGAGCCCGGGCCCTGCCGGTGCTGCTGCCCGGCCACACTGCCAGCGGCTGGGCCCCACACAGCAGTCGCACTAGTAGCGGCGCAGCACGCGGTCGCCCTGAACCTGCCGGAGTGGAGGAAGTGACCGCGGCACTGCGCGGCCGGCCCGAGCCTCTGCCAGCTGCAGGCTGACGTGGAAACTGTCACTGAGCAGAGGCAGAGTGTGGGAAGAAATCAGGCAGCCGTGCGGTCCTGGCGAGTGCTCCTGGTGGCTCTTCAAGG